ACACAAAGTGCAATTAATAGATTGTCTTGTGCAGTAACGAATATGATGCTGTTGTCTATCCCGCCAATTCGAAACAAATAGAAACTTACCCTTTTCAAAAGTTCCAATAATCAATCACATTGCGATAATCATACAATGAAGATGATTTAAAACCGAGATATGAACATGATAGACCAGAAAATGTGCCATCCCAAAGGGTGTTTTGAGTTTTTGACTCTTTCCACGGAATCAAGTATCACCACAAACAGTAATGTACAGAAAACTTGCGACAAGATCTTCATAAGAAACAACCATAGTAGTTGCAATTGGTATTTGTTAATTACGATGAACGCATAGTTTCTCTTTTATAATCTGCCACATTACTAATCTAAACTACGGAAAACGGGATTGGAACTTGACTACGTCTATATCTGCAAAAATTATTAATTGAAATACAAAAAAGATGTAGACTTTTAAGTTCAAGGCTTTCATAAGCAGTGGCGAAAACCCCATTCTCAAACGACAGCTGGGGGCCGCCGCTTGTGGACCCATCGGAGAAGATCAAGGAGACGAGTTCGGCGGCGAAGGAATTGATGTCGTCGGCGGACTTCGACTTGAGGAACGAGAGCAGCTGGTCCTGGGTCGGACCCTTTGACCCGACCGCGATCAAGCTCAGCACCACGTGGATGGACAGCGGCGAGTACACGAGGTTCGATTGCTTGCCTTGGGTCTGAAGCAGCTGCTTCGTCAGCCCCAGAGCGAAGTCGTTGTGGTTGATGATGTTTTCTCTCAGTTCCATTTCTGCTATAAGGACAAAGGTTTCGGAAGTCGTCGTCAGTTACAGGTTCAAGCGAATCAAGGCGATGCCAAGTGGGGAAGAAGACAAAAGAGGGTGCAGTGGGATTCGCGTGAGTCATGACGATCTCGTTTTGGGCCTTATATTGATGATGTTGTGAATTACATTGTGGGCTTAGTACAATTGTAAAAAGTGTTTAATTGGGTTCATGTTTCTAAGTTTGACATTAATGATGTATTTACTTACCAGTAATAAGAATCGAAATCATTGTGATTCTTTAAATTTTTAATGTGTTTTAGTATTTTGTAGAAAAATACAATAAAAATTTCATAACAAGCCGTCAAAGCTGACCACCCTTGACCATTGATTGTTGTTCACCGACACTGACCGTTGACAACCCTTGACCAACTGTAAGGATTTAATCTCCCTTATGTGAGATTAAATCTTAGAGGTATTGTAGTAAGGTTTGTTAGGTAGTTAAAATTTACCAAACTAATTGTTACCGCTCAAAATTTGCAGGTTAAAGTTAAACTCAGACAAATTTGGGTGGACGCTTGTAACATCCCACACCAACCAATAGAGAGGGGGATGATGTGCCTTATATGTACATGCTCACCTACATATAGCACAATGCCTTTTGGGAACTCACTGGCTTCGGGTTCCATCGGAACTCAGAAGTTAAGCGAGTTCGGGCGAAAGCATTCCTAGGATGGGTGATCCACTGGGAAGTTCTCGTGTGAGTTCCTAGAAACAAAACCGTGAGGGTGTGGTTGGGGCCCAAAGCGGACAATATCGTGCTACAACGAAGTCGAGAATAGGATGTGACCAGGTTCACAGATTGTAAGGCTAACACAGAAAATACCATAAACAATCCTAGGTTCATCCATGAACATGACTAAGTCCACTGTAATTTATATATATCTTGCTGAGATTAGAACTGTTACATAAAACATGGCTCAAGACTCCTTAGCTAAGGAGAAGCCAAAAGGTTGTGAAAAAAAAAAAAAAAAAAGGAGAAGCCAAAGAGCTCATAGGGTTTTTCCTTCCCTCGGTCCTCCTTTTCTCTGCACACACTTTTCTATTTAAATACAAAACCACCTTTTAAATACGTCCCCAAGAGAAGATAAGTGACTTCCTCCTAGTAACTCAATAAATATCTAGTCTAATATTGTCTTAGTCAACGTGCCCCCACGTGATGGTCGCCCGTATAGCATTCGGGTAAATACTGTTAGCCGAAATCAAGCCCACAGCGTGATTCCTGCGACTTGAAGAGTCTTCATCAGTTCAAACTCTTATCCTTTAGTTGTTCCTAGTTTATAGGATTTTGTTTTCAAATGTTTGTTGTAAGTTAAGATGTGCATGCAGTCTTTTGCTATCTGATTCTATATTTGAAAGCTCCATGTATCTCTGGTTTTCAAACCCTTTCTGTAATCCTCAAGTTAATATAAATACATGCATCCCATCATTAACAGGGTATGCAATTGAAGTGAATCCTAAGCATGCTAAAGTTCTTACATGGTATCAGAGCCTTACTGTCTAACGACTAAATCCTTGTTTTTTTTTTTCCACGCTTCAATGGCTGAAAACAATGTCAACTCTTCCAACTACACCTTCTCCAACCCACCTACCACTACTCCCTTCCATCTGTTTTCCACTGTTGTCAATATCAAACTTGACAGAACCAACTACCCACTGTGGTTGGTTCAAATTTTCCCAATTCTCAAAAATAGAGATTTGATGGGGTACGTGGATGGCACTTTGGTATGCCCTCTCAAAAACCTGCCTGGTGTTACCATTGTGGATCCTACGTACACTGTGTGGTTTCAACAAGATCAAATGATTCTCAGTTGGATATGGATCTTTGACTACTTCTGTTTTGTTTACTGTGGCAAGCAAGAGGACTACACGTGCCATTTGGGAAGCTTTGGAGCAAAGGTTTGCCTCCACTTCTCATAACAGAATTTTATTCATACGTAATGAGTTGTTGCAGACCAAGAAGGGTGATCTTTCTGTTACAGATTACCTAGATCGCATGAATGCGATTGCTGACAATCTCGCCCTAGCGGGGCAATCTTTGAATGATAATGAACTCGTGCAGATTGTGCTGAACAATCTAGTACCTACGTTTGAAATGACAGTAAGTGCTGCTCAAGCTGGGGATACCCCTATCACCTATCCTACCCTTGAGGCACTTCTGTTGACTACCGAGCAAAGAATGGCGGATCAGAATGTTTCCTTGGCTGAACCTGCACCAGTCATTGCCTTTGTTGCTACTCGAGGACGTGGTGGTGGACGCTCTCGTGGGACTAGAAGAGGTACATCTCCATTTAATCATGGTTCTCTGTCAAATCAACGAGGATACAATCCTCGCAACAATAACAACCAGCGGAATCAGCCCGCTAATGGTAAGAGACCTCCTTGTCCTAGTGAGCGTATCATTTGCCAAATATGTGGCAAACCAAGTCATCCTACCCTAGATTGCTACCAAAGGATGAATGCTACTTATGAAGGTAAGATTCCTGCCAAAAGACTCACAGCCATGTCCTCCTCACCGATCACTCTGAACAAGCAATCCAATGGTACCTGGCTGTTAGACACTGGTGCTAATGCGCATGTCACTCCTGAAAGTCAAAATCTGGTTAATCCCAAAGAATACAATGGTAATGAAACTATTGGGGGTGTAGGTAATGATTCTGGCATCACTATTTCTCATCTTGGTTCCAATCAACTACATACTAAAACTTGTTCATTTGATTTGAATAATGTCCGTCAATGTCCCACTGCCTCTCAGAACATCATATATGCCCATAGATTTACCTTAGACAACAATTGCTACCTACTAATATTTCCATATTTTTTCCTTGTTAAGGACCTCAAGACACGGAAAACGCTTTTCCGAGGGAGATGTGAGAATGGGTTATACCCATTTCCTAGTGGCAGTGGACAGTTCAAGTATTCAATTTCAGCCTTGGTAGGAGTACGGTGTTCAATCCAAAAATGGCATGCTAGGCTTGGTCATCCTACCAATTTAATAATTAAGTTTTTAATTTCAAATAAATTGGTACCAATTCATGGTACTTTTGATGTAACCTTTTGTGAGTCATGTCCCTTAGGAAAAAATACCAAGTTACCTTTCATCGTGTCTCAGTCTGTTTCTATGTTTCCTTTGCAACTTTTGCATTCTGACGTGTGGTCTTCCCTAGTTATTTCTAATGAAGGTTTATAGATACTGCATGCCTAGCACTTTTGCATAGCACAATATGCCTAGTACTGAGCCTAGCACTTAGCCTAGCACAATATGCCTAGCACTAAGACTTGAACTTTTCTTCTTTATTTGGGCCTTTGTCGAGCCTCTTATTGGGCCTGCATTGCTCTAGGGGCCGAAAAGGTCCCTGCATTAACACTAACTTTTTCTTAAAGGTTGAAACAGTTTCCTTACGGACAATTCTGTTAATAACTCATTATTAATGAGTGACTTGTTATACCCGATTAAATAACATGTTAATACGAAACCTGTTATTTTAGTATCATTCAATGTCGCGTCAATGAATCATGTACAAAATTATCAGGTCTAATTGGACCTTATTTTTAAATGATCTTATTACAATTGGACCTTAAGAGGTGTCTAATTGTATTTATGTTTCAAAGTTTTTGACCTTAATGACATACTTACCATGTAACCCTTTATTTTTTATGTGTTTGATGATATAAATAAAATCTGGAGATGACAGGGGGATCATTTACTTAAACTATATTTTGTAGATCACTTAATGTGGCGATTGATGGTTGATTTTCTTCTTTAATGATTTAAAAAATAAAGAAACTAATCATCAACTGGCACACCAATTGGTCTACGAAATAAAATCTAAAAACATAATCTCTCTAATATTTGTTTCTTGCCTTGTCCACCTCATGTTAAGTAAACGTGTAATAAATATCGATCAATTAAGTTTATAAATTATTTTTTATTACAAGCGACGTTACTTTAACTGAACTAAGAAGAATAAGAGAACTTGAACCCAAAACACAAATGAATAAGGAATGACTATTCACTGAGACAATCAACCATTTAATTTAAAAAAAAAAAAAAGGTCTAGTCCAAACCATTCCAATACAACCGACGGAAAACGACAATAATGGGTAACACTCCTATCCCAAAGCATTTCCGACACTTTCGTGTCGCCAAGGCAGAACGAATAACAAAAGCCACATGAGAGAAACAAGACGACATGAACATGATGATCATACATTTATTTATTTTAGAGTAATGCTATACTTACTATTTAGTTGTACCATCATTTGTATCATCTCTTTAATAAAGATAAGATCCGTCAATACATGTAGGTCTTATCTTTATTGTGAGATGATACCACTAGATGGTAAGAGTAACATTTTTGTTTATTAATACATGATTGCTACACTTAACACTTATTTATACCATCTATTTAATAAAGGTAAGACCCGCCAGTGCATGTGGATTTCGTCTCTATTAAACAGATGATACAAATAGGCAGCGTTCAGCCTGCAAGAGGATTGAGTACATGGCCGATGAACAGCACGGCTCCGGTCGATTCTTCCTTGACCAAGAAGAGGAATGGACGATCAGCCACAAAGTCAACCGTCCTCGGCAGACACGAAATAGTTTTAACAACGGCGGAAGCAGCTGCGGCTTCCGTGCCTTCTTCGTTCACTTCGATGAACGACTTATGGAATATGCGGGAAACGTATAAGTTCTTACCCTCAGGCGAGTCCACCATCTCAGTCAAACCTCCTCCACCACCGAATGGCAGCACCAAGCCCAGACCTTTAAGGACATTTGAAGCTTCAAATCCAAATGAAATCTTAAACTTTGGAATCCTGAAATCACCCACTGCAAATTTTTGCTTGGGAAGATGGCGATCCAAAAACCCGGACTCAGAACCAAGTTTCTCAACCAAAGCTGGCAGCCCATCTTTCGCCTCTGGAAGAAAGATGTGCATGGAGAAACATCGCTTGTCTTCACCTTGCTTGTAATGAAGCCCTAAGACTGAGAAACCATTGAAGGATCTTACATACTGTTTCTTCCTGCTGGTCATGAATGGCACCTGAACTGTGCTCCCATCGAGAAGGTGGAAGTCATGCTCTTTAGTTTGTGAGGCATCAAACTTTTCAGTCCAAGCTCCTTTGAAGTATAATGCATTTGCAAAGATGAGCCTGGTTGAGCTGTCAACTGACCCGGGAGGAAGTACCTCCTTGATAAGGCCTCTCGTCTCCCTTTCAGCCCATGAATTCACTCCCGAGGCCACTTGAGCAGCCTCGAGCACCAACAACAGTTACGACAAGTTAGAAAACAATGATATATCAGCCTGCATGTTACTTCAATACTATTAACCTAGTGATGAACGTACTATAACAAAAATCTACGAATTACGATATGATTCTGTAATACCTAAGCTATGCAGAAGGAACAAGCACAAACTGTAAGAGTATGAACATGAGATTGGACATTCTGACAGCGAGTGATTAAGTCCAATTGGTATTAGAAAGCCTTATGAGAAGTTGTATACTAATTCTTGTTTATGAAGGATTCTGTTTTGACATTAAACTGATATGAATTAGGAAACGTAAGTTGTTTTCTATAAGGATTTTAAAGGGAATCCTTATTGAGTTATGAAAAGGAGATATATGTGCCTATATTTTAAATATATATATATATATATATATATATATATATATATATATTGTGACCTCTGCTCTCACAGAATAGTGCTCTCTTCGGAACTAAACCCTATTCTTGGTTAGAGCTTGAAATAATCTGACGGAGAGGAGAAGAGTTACAGTGCACTGAGATCGGTTTGCAGCATTCATGGCGTCTTCACGTGGCGGTTCATCAGGTTAGTGAATTGAAATGCTTTTATATGAAAAGGTTTTTGTGCTTTTTACTTGATTGTGATTACTGCAACTTAATCTAGGTCTTGGCAATAATAATTTAACATAAACAGTAATGATTAGAGAAAGGAAATTTTTATTTGAAATGCTACAAGTAAAAGAGCATCAGCAGGCCTACAAGGTTCAACAAAGGAACAAGCATCTCTAATCACATCGAAAAAATAAAAGACTTCGATCAAGAGCATCGTCGAAAAAAAACAATTCAAACGACAAGACAGAGGGTTTGGGAGCTTACATTGGTCTGAAAATCGACTTGAGCGAGAGCGGCCGTGTAAGAAGTTTCCACCACCTGCTTGAAAGATGGCTTCAGAGGGAGACGCATGTCCACCCAACCACCATTCGCAAACGACAGCTGGGGGCCGCCGCTAGGGGACACATCGGAGAAGATCACAGAGACGAGCTCGGCGGCGAAGGAGTTGAGGTGGTCGGTGGACTTTGACTTGAGAAAAGACAGCAGCTGGTCCTGAGTCGGACCCTTTGACCCCGCCGCGATCAGGCTCAACAGCACGTGGATGGACAGCGGCGAGTACACGAGGTTCGATTGCTTGCCTTCGGTCTGAAGCAGCTGCTTCGTCAGCTCCAGAACGTAGTCGTTTTGGTTGATGATGCTTTCTCTCAGATCCATTTCTTCGTGACAATGGCAGCAGAAATCAGGAAAATGTAGAGAGAGTTCAGAGAGAGAAGCAAATGAGTAATCTTGTATGTATTTCTACAGAGAAAATGTTCATTGCATTAGAAAGTGAGTCTACTCCCTATTTATATAAAGAAAGAATCTTAACAACTAAGTAACCACATATTTTTCAATATCATAGGCACACAATATGGTATACCATGTGTTACTATATGAATTGTGGGATATGTGTGTTAAAAAATTAATAACTCAAAAAATAAATTTTTCACCACTTACATAAAAATACGTGATATACCACACGTGTTCCTGTCACATTTAAAAATTTCTACTAAGTTACCTCCTAACTAGCTCACATCTAATGATCAATATTTCTCTAATCAATCTCTGATATAATGGTCAACAGAACACATGGTCTACATCAAATCATGCCACTTGGCATTTACATGGTTAATATTTCGGCTGTGCTTAACTTTTCTCCGGTCGGATGATGTTTGGTTGCGAGAAGATTGTTCAGCTTTTTGTTTCAGGCTTTACGAGACTTAAGGACTAAGGTTTCGGAAAAGCCATCCGTTGGTTCATACGAATCAGCGCAAAGCCAAGTGGGAAGAAGACAAAAGAGGGAGCATTGGGCATTAGTCCAATTATCACATATTCGCACGAGTCAGAACCACATCGTTTTGGGTATGTTGGGTTTACAGAACCGAAAAATTAAACTGAATTGAACAAAAACCTAAAAATATTAAACCGAACCGATATTTTGATTTAGTTTCAATTTTGACAAAAATTTGAACAGATTGAAACCGAACACACCTTTCGTTTTGGGCTTGACCGAGTAAGAAGTACGTTAACATTGGGCCTTATTTTGATTATACATATCATGTAGTGAACTACGTCGTGAACTTATTACAATTAAACCATAAGAGGTGTCATATTGAGTTTATGTTTCAAATTTTAATGTTAATGACATGTATATGACAAGCTAAATTGTAGTGCTTTTGAATTGATCGCACACGTAACAGTTTTGAGAAGAAAAAAAAACTATCATATGTATAACAAAATATTGATTTAGGACAGACAAACAGATAATAGTCTATAGTCAAAGCATAAATAAAACAGTTTAATTTGCTAATTCCAGGGTATAAAGATTTCAAATCGAAACACGTAATCCTTGCATACCTGGAGAAGACGACATGATGAATTTTTATATTTGCCCAATGGATAAAATCTGCTCACGGTAAAACTTCATATGGGTTTGATATACTTTTATCTTCAACGAATGGTCCAGCGTTGAACTTTATATTTGCACTTCTATGGACTGTTGCTCCTTAGACAATAAACTGATGGGGAGTTCTTACTATTGTGGTGTTAGCAGTGTGCATAAGGGCCTCAGTTTTATATAAGTTTCAAGTTCCTAGAATTATACTAACTCACGGTTGCTAGAAACCCTACTGATAAAACCCATGAAAATGTATTCCACATAAGAACCCCTTAACTAACAGCAAGGAATACGGATTTCACTTTTCTTTTTGGCACAAGGAATAGCTAACTAATTAAAGCAGCTGCTTCGAGTCAGAACCACGTCGTTTTGGGTACGATTGCTTGCCTTCGGTCTGAAGCAGCTGCTTCGTCAGCCCCAGAGCGAAGTCGTTTTGGTGGATGATGCTTTCTCTTAGATCCATTTCTGCTGTGCTTAACTTTTCTCCGGTCGGATGATATTTTGGTTGCGAGAAGATTGTTCGGCTTTTTGTTTCAGGCTTATACGAGACTTAAGAACTAAGGTTTCGGAAAAGCCGTCCGTGGTCGGTTACAGGTTCAAACGAATAAGCGCGAAGCCAAGTGGGGAAGAAGACAAAAGAGGGAGCATTGGGAAGTACGCTAACATTGTCCCAATTATCACATTCACGCGAGTCAGAACCACATCGTTTTGGGTAGGGTGGGTTTAGGTACCGTTGGTACGCAAATGGAACGGGACGGAATGAAACGGAACAGAAGTTCGGTGTTATGTTTGGTATGCGCAGGACGGAACGAGACAGTGGTTTCGTTTTGCGTTTGGTAAGTACATGACGGAACGGAATCAAAAGATTAAATGATTAACTTATCCTTGTTCCGTCTGTTATTTGGTACAATGTATATGCATGGGACGGGACAGAATTCCTTTTTCTTTTTCTTTTTTTAACTCGTTCGTATTTGAACATATATATGCTTATCTATGATATATTTTTTACACTAGCACATGATTGAAGATATGTTATGCCATGAAGTCCATTTTGCTAACCTCAAGGTCATGGATAATTTATTAAGAATGTTGACCATGTGTTCAACCTTGCAGCTGATATGGATGGAATGGGCTTCATTCAGTCCAACCGTTCCGTCATCTTTTATAACAATACCATGATTAGCTTCAACATGGTTGAAGCTTCACGGATCAATGATGTGAAGAGTTTTGTTGTCCTAGACTTGCTACCTTGCATCCTTGGTTAAAATTCGTATTTTGACAGAGATGTATGAATTCATATTGTAACTATAGCTTGGGAAAGGGCCAGCAGGAGAAACACAAACGAGAGGAGCAGCACCTTGTGGAGTTGAAAATGAAGTAGTATTAGAAGCTGACGGGAACAACGGAACAAGACGCCTCAAAGGCCTTACATTTAAAACCCTAGACTTGTCAAGTAACCCAAAACCAGGAACAGACTCTTGACCTAAACTTTGTTCCATTAAATCGTTTCAGGCAAGAAGCACGGTTTTCAGCTACGACAAATCTGGTAAGAAAGACTGCCTCCACTACCAAAGCAGCCACAACATTGCCTTGTCACATAATCAAATTGCAACCATTTCAACCAGAATACATTGCAAAATAAGCAGTGATCTTTGCAGAGTTCTTGAAAATACAAAGTTGACTAATCTCCAGTAACATGCAAAGTTTTAAATAAATTAGAGAGACGATAAAAACTAAGTTCACCCAAAATTAATATATTTTCATAGGGTAAAAAGAAAGAAGTAAATCCAACTACTACACCATTTTGTTGGTGGAAAATATAGTAAATCGAAATAATAACTCGCTTTCAGTTTAAGCTAATTTTGACACAAGGATTTTTGTTCATCCGAACCCAGAAACCACATGCAACACATCATTCAACTAAAATTCTTTTTATTTCCCAGTTTTCATTTTAATTTCCCAGATTTCCCACAAGTGAGAAATTACCTTCAATTAAGCTGTAAAATGAGAAAATGAAATCAAAACTAAAACGGTTTTCACTTTTCAGACTTTTCTCAGCAACCAAACAAAGGATATGAGGTATAACGTAAAACTAAGTGAGAAAAGTTACCTTTAATTCACAAATGAAAAGTGCACGAATTAGATCAGAGAGAACCAGTAAAGGGAAAATTGGATATTTTTTGGAACGAAATGCAGAAGGTGCTATTTATTTAACAGATCTACAACAAAAAACTGCTTCTATGAAAATCCTGCGATCGACATCGACATCGACATACCTGGTTATTTCCTTCAAGATCTTGTTTTGCTGTCAGAATTCACACAACTCTATGGAAAGAAGATGATTTTGGGTTTGTTTTATGATTTGGATGGTGTAAATATTGAAAAAGATAAGGGGCATTTTTGTCTTTATAATTTTTTGTTCCACGAGGGTGGAACGAGTCGTTCTAGGGGGGAGATGGAATGAAAATTTAACCAAAATTCGTTGACACGCCAAACGTGGGACGAGGGCGTTCCGTCCCATCCCACATACCAAATGGTACCTTAAAGAACCGAAAAAAACATCAAGTTGAATACCGAATCAAAGCAAAGAAAAGACCGAACCAAACCACAATTAAACTGAATCGAAAAAAAACCTAAAAATATTAAACCGAACCGAAATTTTGGTTTAGTTTCGGTAGATTTAAACTGAACCCACCTCTAGTTTTGGGCTTGCGCAAGTAAGAAATACGCTAACATTGGGCCTTATTTTGATTATGAACATCAAGTGATGAACTACATCGTGAGCTTATTATAATTAGACCATAAAAGGCGACATATTGGGTTTATGTTTCAAATTTTAAAGTTAATGACATGTATATGAGAATTCAAATCATTCTGATTTTTTTTAATTTTTTGTTTTAGTACAAATGAAATCCATCTAGTTGTGGACAAATCCTGCCAACTTATAAGTTAATATCTAAAAATTAAGAATTATATAAACTAGGTGGCTTGTTGAACATATTTATTTTGCTTATTCCCTTGCTCCAACGGTTTATGTATCTTTACTTGAAGTAAACATGTCATAAATATTGACTAATTGGGTTTTATATTGTTCTTTATTACAAAGTGACATTGCTTTAAACTAGACTAAGAGGAGGAAGAGGATTTGAAACGCAAATGGTTGGAAAGTAACCTAACTAAATAGAGTAACCTCCAGTTCAATTGTTCCAAATACAATCGACAAGAAAAACATTCATAGCATCAATGGGTGAAGATCCTATCCCAACTACATTAGTTTTGTGTAGCCGTGACAAAATAATTTCCTCTCCTTTATCTCTTGTATTGTACGTAAGGTAAATTTAGCTCAGACAACTTGGAAATTCAGGGTCCGTCTCTGGATAAACAAGACGACTGTTATAAGAACAAATGATTAGGCAATAACAAAATATGGCACACATTAACATGATGATATAGCAAGTTGATTAAGTAGCCTAACAACAAACTTTTTTTTTTCTTTATAAACAATAAAGCTTAATGGTTAACGGATTCGGTTAAGTCACACAATAAATAGCTATAATAATTAGATATCAAACTCATCATTTATATAACTCGAACTTAAAACCTACCACATCGAACTTTTCATTTGACAAGCTAAATTGTAGTGCTTTAATTTTGAATTGATCACATACGGAACAGTTTTGAGAAAAAGAAATATCATATTTATAACAAAACTATTGATTTAGGACGGAAAAACAGACTATCGTCTATAGTCAAAACATAAAAAACAGTTTAATTTGCTAGCTCCAGGGTATAAATTATACTTTAGAACCTGAGCTTATGCATGCTTGGGCAGGTGAGAAATTGACCAGCCAACACCCCATGCACATGTAAAGATTTCATAGCTAATCGAGAAGCATCTTAACCAACTATATCTGTGTCCCTTTCCCTTTGTTTTCAAATATATACTGATAAAGCAGCTCCATGGTATCTTTTTTGTCATACGTTGAACTAATAAAAAATAAAAAGACCAAAGCCTGTCTGTTCTTGGCTCACTTGTTTGCCATCATTCTTAAGATCAAACATTTTTTTTCTAAATTTTTTTGTTTTTGAATTGTATGCTTGGAGAGTTTGTACTTAATGGGAGGTTTGATTTGTAAAGCATGATTTGGATGATAAACTATTTCGTTTGATACAACAGATAATTAAAAGAGAGAAATTCAAACTTGAAACTTCAAGTACAAAATATGTGCTCTAAATTTGATTCACTTATTTGAGTCCAAAGACAAAAATGGCTTGGTATATTATGGTTGCCACCAAATAGACTAGCTTTGGCAATAAAGGAATAGTCTTCCTTTTGTTTGGGCGTTGGTCGATGGGGAGAAGATGTTTTAGGCGGTGGCCGCATTATGTCAAATCCCTTATTTAATCAATTTAATTGCAGCTCTTTTCTATCGGAATTGAATATTATTGAATATAACCAAATTCATGTCAATTCATATTCCAATAATTTTCACTTTGTTATATATCTATGTAAGAGGAGTTCTTAAATAACTAAGACAAAGAAAGAATTTAAGTTGAGCCTCTTAATTTTAGTTAGAAGTTAAATAGCACAATTCTGCATCATATAGTCTATTAACGGGAACAAGTAGTGGCACACTCACAATTTTCAAATTCATGTTCATATAAGTTCCCTGACTACGCAATAGACTCACGTGTAATTTATTTGTCAAACACTCTTAATAACCAACTTAACTCCAAATCTTTGTAAACTTTATCAGTTCATCAAATCAAAACACATAAACCTTGCGTACCTAGAGAAGACGACATGATGAATTTCTGGATCAAACTTCAAGACGGAATAGATTGAAGCACTTCTATGCACTGTTGCTCCTTATACAATAAACTAATGGGGAGTTATTAGTATTGTGGTGTTTGCAGTGTGCATAGGGGCCTCAATTTTATACAAGTTTCAAGTTCCTAGAATTATACTCACTCACGGATGCTAGAAACCGTACTGATAAAGCCCATGAAAATGTATTCCACATAAGAACCCCTTGGAGCAGGTCCACAGGGGGTGGGATAGGCCAGCACACAGCCAAAAAAATGGCCCGGCACCTAGGAAAGTCTCTCCAGCCCACGGGATTGCCTGGCACCCAGCCCAAGCTGGTCTCTAGGCCAGCACAAAAGTGACAAACCTTGGGACCGGCTCATCTGACGCCAGCATGGCATCAGAAGGAAGTTTGAACTAGAGGTCGTCTCTCGTTGACCTCGCAAACACCATTGGCCGCTTCGTCTTCCTATACTCCATCCACAGCAGCAAGTCCGTGTGCTCCAGTGTCGTCCAGATCTTGTCCAGGTCCCGCTTTGGAAACCCAATGGCCATGAACGCCTTGTTGAGGTGGTCCAGGTTGAGCTCTGCAATTGTGCGGTGGAGGTTGAAGCCCTGGGTGTTGAGGTCTTGGTCGGAGATTGAGTATTGATTGGTGAGCGGCGCGACATGGTGAGATTGAGGGGGAGTGGGAGCGGTGGATTAAATAGGGTTTAATAAAATTGACTAGGCTATTTTGTTTTAGGGGTGGAGATACATTTGGTCTATTACTGTTCATTGGGGAATGCATTTAGTCTATTACTGTTTATTGGGGTCTATCACTGTTCACTGAGTGAATAAATCGGCTGGGTGCTGGCGCAAAGTCTTTAGGGGTGGAATTGCTCTAAGAATAGCTAACTAACAGGAAGGAATACGGATTTCACTTTTCTTTTTGGCACAAGGAATAGCTAACTAATTAAAACTCTAACCCAAATTCAAATCAATTATAACTATGTAATTCAATTAGAGATGAACTTTATTATTTGACTCCATGAATCTTTTGGCATTTATATTTTGGCTAGCTAGTTAGTCATAGGATGCAAGGTGAGAAATGACGATGGAGGGAAGTAACATATAAAAAGGATAATAAGACAGCTCTTATAGTTTCAAGGATTAATAAGTAGTTGCAAACATTGCAACGGTTCAAAAAATGAACAAACTGAAAAGAAGAAAACAAAGTAAATTCCATTTTTTAAATACAAGTGGAAGAGACAAATATACCTCAGCTTTGATGTGCCCCTCTTAACAAACCCTATATATAATTCAACCTTTGTCTGCTTCATGTGTAATTCTAATCTCTTGCCTCTGACCAAATAATACTACTATATAACCCCTTAAATTTAATTTAATTAAGAATCTTAATTAGTAATTACCTTGAATAATTACGATGGCTCTGATGCTTGAAATGCGAACCCTGCAGCTTGAAAACCCTAATTTACCAATTGATTAATTCCTGTTTATTTTATAGAGTACTCTATGCTGTGGATACCTGTACCCGTGATACCATTGTAAATTGTCAAATATATAGTACTTTTTAAGTTTGTATGAATAATCTTTAATACTACGTAGTATCTGGTACTACGACCAATAGATGGCTAGGATGATTCCCCATCAATCGAACGGCCACAAAACAACTGCAATTATGAAAAGCAAACAACCGTTGACCTCAATCTCATAAAAAGAGAGGAACCAGAATCAAAACCGGTGAGAGAAATAAGAAATTGAGAACTGTTTCATCGGAAATGATGATTTAGGGGGAACACATTAGAAATTTTTCCTGTTAATCCTTAAGTCGCGGTGTCGGAGGAGAGAGAGAGAGCAGGACAACAACAGCAACAAACAGACCAACCAAAAGAGTTTGAGATTTCGACTCAAACTATCTATTAAATTGGAAATTTGCTCAATTTTTTTGTTTGGAAGAGAGAGTGTTTCTGGTCTGTGTGCTGGTAGAATTGGGAAGATGGAGAAAGAATCGTATCAAATTTAATGGTCAAATATGTATCGACACTGAGTGCACGTAGCTACTCAAGAAAAATTCAAACCACTAGGGCTAGCCTAGTGGTGAGGGTGTGGGTAAGGGGTGGGGCAGTCTAGGAGGTCTTGGGTTCAAGGCTTGGGGTGGGTAAGGGATGGGGTAGTAAAAAAAAATAAAAAAATAAAAAAAAGAACTACTCAAGAAAAATTCAACATTTTAATTTAAATGATGTTAAGAAACATATATCATTTCTCACACATGAGCGTGGCAATACCCTTATTACATAATTAAATACAAATTATGCAGAGATCAGATAGAGACATACAGGTCCTATAAGAAACAAAATATGGCCAAGCAAGTCTTCCAAAATCCAAAGATACCAATTGATTCCTTTTTGTTATCATTTGTCCGGAAAAGCATCCGTACATATCTATATATATATATATATATTCCTTTTTGGGTATCAGTATCAAACCATCAGCCAACCTCCACAAACATCAGAGGAGTCGGAAGACCAGGCTCCCACTCCTACACTTCAAGGCACAATGGTAATTCACCTTTCTAGGGGCACCATTCAAGCTCAACAGAAAGAAAATTATTAAGATCATTTGTATGATCCCATATTTATTTGTAAAACCCTAATATGAGATTATATATGAACAGGCCGACATCTGCCAAAGGTTTGAAGGCAAGCCTAAGCAGGCAGCAGCAGCAAGGCTAGGAGGAAATCGAGCTGCACTTTTCGTATTCGGTAACTTTTACGACTGAAATTATCATGTTTACTCCTTTTTTAGATTTTAGTTTCTCTTTAAGTACGTAATTACTATTCATGCTGAATTTACGTGCATGCGTGCAGCGACGGAGGGACTCGAGAACATGGCGTTTATTGCAAATGCTATGAGCCTTGTGACTTATTTCTATGGATATATGAACTTGAGCTTGACAAAGTCTGCCACCACTCTTACCAACTTCATGGGGACTGCATTTATACTAACCCTAGTTGGTGGCTTCATCTCTGATACTTATTGGTCGAGATTCAAAACTTGCGTCGTCTTCATCTGCATTGAATTGGTGGTAAGTCTCTTCTAAAAGAAAATAAGACATTTTTACTATATATTGTTATTTAATGGTGGTCTATTTGTTTGTATATACAACACTTATCACATGGTATATTTGAGTGTATATAATGCTCGAGAGACTAAATTCTTATACAAAATTTATAAACTAAATTATGTGTCATCAATAAGAATTAATTAGCATGCAATCAACTTCCATGTTATTTAGTTTACAAAATTTTGTCTAAAAATTTAGTCACCCTAGCATTATCTTTCGGCACGTTATGTGTGTTATAAACAGTTCTCAGTTGCTTAAAGCGGGATGAAGTATAGGTTGTTTTGACAGCCATAGGCTGAACATTGGTGTGCAGTCAGGCTCACCTAATAAAAAGAATCTTCTTCGAATTGCATATTGCATCTAGCAAAGACCAAAAATAATCAATTTAGTGAAACTTCAGAAAAGAAGCCAAAGCCATGGCCTGCAAATATTTGATTAATGCAAAAGGCATAATCTAATTTTAGACTTAATGGAGAGCCAGAAGATCATTGATAAACCCCATAATAGCTTGGCTACTGTTGGTTGATGATCGAGCATGCAGACAATCATGATGACATCATGTCGCTTAATTAAACAGTACATATATGTGGATCTTAGCAGTCCTATCCCTCTTAAAAACCAGTAAACTAACAAATATTAGTTAAAAAGGAGTTCTACTTCTTCATGAGCTAATCCTGATCATTCTTGTTTTTGGGAAGAAAAAAAAAACGATTATAATAAGTTTATTTGTATATGCACGACTGATGCTAGAATTCTCTGAAAAGAAACACTAAAACTAAACATTTATTAATTTACAAATCCGCAGGGACTTGGTTTGTTAACAATACAAGCACACTTCCCTCAACTAAGGCCGTTCCCTTGCAAAGGTGTTGCACCAAGCCAAATGTACAAGTGTGAGGCTCCAAACACAAGCCAACTTGTAATGCTCTACACCGGACTCTACCTAATGGCTTTAGGCACCAGCGGCGTCAAGGCGGCTTTGCCGGCCCTGGGAGCCGACCAATACGACGAGAAGGACCCTAAGGGAGCAGCACAGTTGTCCAGCTTCTTCAACTGGTTCTTGTTCAGCCTCACCATTGGAGCTATTTTTGGTGTCACTTTTGTGGTTTGGATCAGCACCAACCATGGCTGGGACTTGTCCTTTGTTGTGTGCACCATTGCAGTTCTCTTTGCTCTTCTTTTTGTGTGCATGGGAAAGTCACTCTACAGAAACAATGTTCCCAAGGGAAGCCCCCTCCTAAGTATCCTACAGGTAATGAATCACAAATTTATGCAGACGTGTCAAATTATAATATTTAAGAAAATGACACCGTTTGAGTTAGGAGCCAATTACTTTCATTTGTAAATACGTAATTAGAGGTTGATTAAGTTTGTTCTTGATTGTTTAGGTTTGTGTGGTTGCCATCAAAAACCGAAAACTTCAAATTCCTGAGAATACAGACGAGTTGCATGAGATCCATGACAAAGAAGCAGGTGAACAACATGAAATTCTTCAGAGAACAGATCAATTCAGGTAAATCGAGATTGCCTACACTTACAAATTTCCTCTATCCAAACTGTAAGACAAAACTACTAAAAGTCATGTTTTGACGGTGTTTTTAGAATAGAAACACTTGTATATAACTAAAAGTGCTTCTTATAATGTTTGATAGAAAAAGTTAAAAGTGCTTATGAATTACATATCAGATGGTTGGACCGCGCAGCAATCTCCAGTGGCACTACGGCTGACGGTGCAACACCTACAGTACATGGATCATGGAGCCTATGCACTGTCACACAAGTTGAAGAAACAAAGCTCCTAATCCGCATGCTCCCAATCATATTAAGCACTGTCTTCATGAACACATGCATGGCGCAACTCCAGACCTTCTCAATCCAACAGAGCACAACTATGAACCGTAATCTGCTCGGATTCAAAGTTCCCGGCCCTTCAATCCCAGCAATCCCTTTAACGTTCATGTTCTTTCTTATCCCAATTTACGAAAGAATTTTCGTGCCAATCGCTCGAAAAATCACCGGGATCCCAACCGGGATACGCCACCTCCAGCGCATCGCAGTTGGGCTAGTGCTCTCTGCTATCTCCATGGTGGTGGCCGGATTCATAGAAACTCGCCGCAAACACGTAGCGTTTCAACACAACATGGTCGACAGCGCAGAGCCACTGCCGATGAGTGTGCTTTGGCTGGGGCTGCAGTATGCAATTTTCGGAGCTGCGGATATGTTTACATTGGTAGGGCTTCTGGAGTTCTTCTATGCTGAGAGTGCGGTCGGAATGAAGTCCCTCAGCACCGCCATATCGTGGTGTTCGATTGCGTTTGGGTATTTCTTGAGCACGGTGGTGGTGGAGGTGGTGAATAAAGTCAGCGGCGGGTGGCTGGCTAGCAATAATTTGAACAGAGATAAGCTGAACTATTTCTATTGGTTGTTGGCAGGGCTCAGTGTGCTTAATTTTGGAGGTTATGTGCTTTGTGCATCTTGGTATAAGTACAAAAAGGTGGAAGTGATTAAGGAAGGTGATTACAGTGGGAAGGTTGAAATGGTTAAAACCTAGTTAGGGTTTGTTTTAGGGTGGTGCTGTCTACACACTCATTTTTACCTCTCACAGACCTCTCTCAATTTTCGGTCATCGGATCGGATAAATTGAAAATCAAAGGATATAAATTAACAAGAGATGTGTCAGAGGCAAAAATGAGTGTGTGGACGGCACTTGTTGGTACATGAATGATTAGTATATATTGTAATGATTATCAACATTATTAAGAGAACCCATATTATGAAATGCATTTTATAACACATGATATTAAACTTCAAAATGAAGGGCAACATGATAAGGGGAAATGATTTCCGCACTCCGGAGAAATTCAGAGTGCGGGAATCGTTTCCCTATGATGATTACATATTATTCTAGACTAACCATTTTCATCCAACATATATACAGTGAGTATCCACCAAAACCAAAAACTCATGAAGGAAAAAGCTTATTCAATGAAAATGAGACTCAAGCGATCACAGAGGCAACGATCCAACAAAAACGATCCTGACTATATCAGATTATAAAGTCGAAATCAAAATAAGATCAAACTAATATCAAGTCATCAATCTGTATAACGTTTGTTTTCTTAATTAACAATTTACTTACAGGAGCAATCGAGAGTGCTACTGGCATGTACTGTTTCATCTATCATATAGAAAAAGGGCATGGGCACAAACAACGCCTTGTCGCCTTAATCTGCAAAACATTCTCAAAAAAGAATACTTTACAAGTTTACTCTACCACTTCACATCCAGTGTTAACGCCTCCGGAGGGCCAAGGACAGATCCGGACTTCGTAAAGGAAATATTTGACGTCAAACTACTCCATGCAACTGAATCAGCTACAATGAAGGGCCTAATCTTTCTAACAATGAGAGGCTTAACCCTCTTTAATTCAACTCTCGCCAAAACTTCAAACCAAACCCGTTGAACAGCTGGCAAAGTTCTCCACCCTTCTTTGTCATGGAGTGCACCAACCCTCCGAAAATCCAATTCGAGCTCAACCTTGAAGCGGACAATAGTTGAAGCTTTGATTTTTCCTTCAACAAATCCCGACAATTTGTTCTGGCGAATTCTATCACCAAGAAAGCCTTTCCAAATTCTTTCCAGCATAGATATCCTCAAACTTAAAGAATCAATGGGACAAGGCCGCTTCTTGTATGCATGACTTCTATAGCACTTCTCTGGCAACAATTCAACTATCTCCTTGGATATAAAATTAGTTTCAATGTGGGCACCATGATTTCGAGTCTTGTATGCAACCGATGTTGCCGGCCCTAAAACACGAATCGGAACTAATGGTGCACAGTATGAATGCCCAATGGGCCAAAACTCACTTCTCTCCTTCTTAGTAGCACCACTGCTATTTGATGATAAACCAAGATCAGACGCATGGAACACAGAGACTTCAATCGCTCTGCTTACCTCCACAGTTATGCCATCACCAACAAGAATCCTTTTCAACCCATTATATGTAGTGTTCATCTACAATATACAAAAGAAATTTCTCAAGCTATTCGTATATGAAATTGTCCGAAAACTCGAAAAGAGCAACAAGTGAGCTATAGTGTCAATCAAAACCACTTTGAAAACACTTGCAAAGTATGCACAAATAGAATTCTACAAATTCTCAATACATGGGGCAATAAACAGCACAGTAAAACAAGTTTTTCGTGTTCGTTTAGTGCCGGTTTGGTGACAATTTAGTGAAAAAGTTCTGTTTTTTAATCGAATCATTTGTAATCTGATGAGAACCAATCAAGATAACTAACATAATTCTGAAATTCAAGTTCGATTAAGCGTTAAATTGAGCAATGAGCTTACCGGCAATGAAAGCGAGAGCTCGTGAGAGCCGCCGACGCGCAACTCAAACGGACCCTCCACTTCGAAAGTGTCGACAACGGCCATGGAGCTGAGCTCCTGAACGAGAGAGCCCAAATGGGTCCTGGGTTTCCTGAACTTCTTCCAGGAAGCGACGTCGTCAGAGAACAAGACGCCGACGTGGATCTTCCCGAATCCGACCCGGAACTCGTACCGCTGGGCGCTCCCAAATCGGACCCTGCCCACATCCAGCCTGGAGACCCTCACGTCCCGCAAATCCCACTTGTTCTTGGCCGAGATTTGCTTCAGAACTTCCTTCAAAATTCACCAAAATGGAAAGAAAAGTAGAAATTAAAAATCACAGAGCTGTAGAGAGAGAGAGAGAGAGAGAGAGAGAGATGAGATCGAGAAGAGAGAGTACCTGCAGGATTCGAGTGTCGTCGTTTAGAGATGAAGAATTGAAAGCGAGAATTAATTGAAGCGGGAACTGGAGGTAGAGGAAGAGGAGAAGGGACACGGTGGCGCCGCCGGTCCTCATCGTTTTTTGTGTATGTTTTGATTCGTCAACGACAGACATAAGCGGAAGGGATCGCGTCCCACTCTCTCACCGCCGTGTTTGAGTTTTGGGTTCCAATGATGATAGGATAACCTTACTCATGAGACCGTTAATTTTTTTTAGCTGCCACTTATCTTGTTTTAAATTTTTTTTCATTTGGTTGCTATAATTAGTTTCATTTTTCATTGAGTAGGGATGAATATTTGAACTTTAGTCCGTAACATCTTGAGTTCGATTTTTAACACTAATGGTCAGACGGAATAAAAATGCCCCTGTTAGTATTTCTGGTTTCCCAAAAAAATTTCGGTGCGCTGAAATTGAATATGGCATAACTAAATTGAACCAGAGGGCAGTTTGATCTTTTTCGTTCAATTCGGATTCATATATCCAAACAAAACATTTCATGGAGATGAAAAAAAAATAGAATTGAAATCGTTCCCTTGATGCATTAGCACAAGAAGAAAAACTAAGGATCTGTTTGGTATCCTATTTGGAAATTTTTATAATTTTTCAAAACATTTGTTGAGAACATTTCTTGAAAACAATTTTCTTTAAGACTCAAAAACTTGATGGTTTGCGATTTAAAATAGACGAAGAGATCTAAAAAGAGAGGGTCGCAAGAAAGGGCGAAAGAGGAGAGAGGAGGAAAGAAAGCAAGAGACGATTAAAGGAAAGAGGAAGAAGAGAGAGAGGATCGCACGAAATAAAGAACAAGAAGAGTGATAGAAAGAACCGAGAGAATGAAAAGAGCATGTTGAAGTAGAGACGAAAAAGGTATAAAAAAAAATAAAAAATAAAAACAAAGGAGAGAAAAAGAAGAAAAGAGAGATTTGGAGTGAAAGGGGAGAAGGGAGAGAAAAGAAATGAGTGAGCTTAAATTTAAAAACTCTAAAAACTAGATAATAGATTATATTTTTTTAGTTAATCTTGAGTTCAGTTTTTTAAAATAATTCTATCAAACAAGTTTTTAAGACCTAAAACTTGAAAATTATTTTTGAGTTTAAAAAATTAGGTTCAAGTAAAGTTCAGAACAAGCCATAAAATACCAACTACTCAATCAAGGGAGCAGTTTGATCGGACTATCAACGAACAACGTTTTACACAGATGAACAATGCGTCTTATAAAATGGAACAGCAGAACTCCAAAGACGCCATTTACACGGATGCTTCGAAGGAAGCAAGCAAAGCCTACAGGCAACAGGTAAAAAAGAGAGGCCAAGTTCAATTCATGGGCAAGCTTTCAGCATTACTGCAAAGAACCATCTGCGGCTACCATCCGCGAACCATCTCCGTCTCTTCGTATGACAAGAATCATCCCACCAGCATCAAAGGCGATCAGACCTTCACCCGGCACGAGAGGTGCTGTACTTCCAGATGAATCTTCCCCTTCCTTTGGACGTTTGGTTCCTCACAGGTGCTGAAACCTCATGTATGGCAGCTGAACCTCCCAACAACATATTAAGAACAAAATAATTTGATGAATCATATAAGTCGAAAACTTTAGCTTCATCTTTCTTTTGCTCGTTCAGAGTAAGTTTAAATTTCATACAGATTCACAGACTGATGGATAAGTTTATCCATCCAAATCATCTTCAAAGTGCTCGAAAACGAGCCAAAAGAGTAGTGAAAGTCAGTTCACTATCTTGATAAGAGAATAAGAATGTATTCTGAGGTCCTCCCCCTGCAAACAGAGGGCAACCGGTCAAGAAACTGCAACGACGTTATTTGGTCCTTGTGGTTCAAACGTGGTGTCAGACACCTTGGAAGGAGGCCAGTAGCGAAATACTGATCTGCCAAGAATGTTTTTCACAGGAAGTGGACCCCTGAAAACAAGTAAACAACATCAACATGTCAGCGATGCGATAATTCTTTTTTTGGTTACGAAGATATAACAATTCAGTTGGAAGGATAATGATCTTAATGTGCTATACTAAGAGCTTAGACGTACCAGTTATGAGAGTCAAAACTATTGTTGCGATTATCTCCCAATACGAAGACATAGCCTTCTGGAACAAGCTGCATAATCATGCAAGCAGGTCACAATTTTGTAAGCAATCGTTCATGTCTCTCCGTATCCAAATCAACTGAATGAAAACAAATCAATGAGAAGCCAGAAGAGGATGCCTACCACTGGATCCATTTCATAAGCGAGCGGCTCCAAAACATAATTTTCATTCTGAACAAGATCATTGACAAGTAATTTCCCATTGCGAACCTGATCAACAGAAAGTCCAAGCAAATAACATGTCAAAAAACCAAGGCATACAGTTTTTCAATTTTATCAATAAACTGCCTGAGCTATAAACTTATAACCATGAACTATGAAGATTAACGAGATTAATACCTCGACCCAATCTCCAGCCTTAGCTACAATTCTTTTGATGAATACATCAGTTGAGTTGTAACCAAATTCCTAGTACACAACAAAACAGAAGAATAAAAATGTCAGCGCCCCATGCTAAAATTTCTTACAAAATGTAACCAAGGGTGCAATCGAAATTCATACAAAATGTAGTTACATTATATACATTACCTGTAAGATTGGAGGTGCCTTGAAAATTACTATATCTGAAACCTCAGGATTTTTAAAGAAATATGAAACCTGATTCATCAAAGGAATAAAAGATATCAGCTGAACTGAGAATCTGATTGAGAATATAATGTACTTCACGTAATCGATTTCAGACACCAACAGAAGAAAACTTTCCACATTTATTAATTCACCAAGTAGATTGCAAGCACAAATTTCCATACCCCAATTCAAATTCACATCGTACTAACCAAGACTAAATCAACTATCAATCAATCAGAATACCAACATTGAAAAATTAAAAGACGGCGAAAATTCGAACATAAACTCACCTTCTCCGCCAAAACTCGGTCACCCACATCGAGAGTAGGATACATTGAAGTGGAGGGAATCGATCGGGGCTCAGCCAAGAAGGACTTAAACAATACACTAACTGTAACAGCAGTGAACACAGCCTTAGCGTCCTCCGAGCAAGAATTCAACAATCGTGACAAAAACCCGGTCCTGCCCAAGTCTTTCTTAGCCAGCTGCGAGGCCTCAGAAACCTCGTCCACGCACAACGTTCCACCTTTATCCACTTCCTTCATTATCGACTCCGGGACGGTGTCGTTGCTGGGAAGCCACTTCGATGCCTGTAAAAAGGGCATGATCGAACTGACTTTTGACGGCGAAATCCCCATGGCGGCCGGAGCCGAAGAGACGCCTGTGGCGACAGCCGTTGACTTCAGAAGCGAGATCAACCCCAGCACGATCGGGCTCTTGCTGCTCTCGCCTAGAATCTCCTCGGCGAGGGCGGTGTACAGCGACGGCAAGGGCCTTACGGCGGCCGACGAAGGCTTCGAGCGGGAGAATTGGGTCTGGTAATTGCGGACGGGGACAGAGGGGTCGATATCGGGCTTCTGTTTGGATCCGAATACCCGAGACCTGACCCAGCATTCTTGAAATCCTCGGCAGTTCCCCGCGCGGAGGTTCGCCGAGGATGCAAGGTTTTGGGCCACATAGCCGGAGAAGCTCAGGGTGACACGAATAGCCATAACTATGAATTTGATTAGGTTGGTGAAGTAGTGGTGCAGTGTGCTGTCGGAGAGTGACGGGATGGATCTAGGAAACCCTAGCAAGCGATGGATGCCATTGCGGAGGTTGACGACGGTGAATCGGCGGCGGGAAGGTTGAATTGAAATGTGGGGTTACAGAATTGGAGGTGATTTGGGGAAAAAAATTGGGGATTAGGAAAATTAGGGTTTGGGAGGAGAAAAGCTCGGACGTAGTTTGCCGGAGAGAGAGAGAGAGAGAGAGAGAGAGAGAGAGTGAAGCTCGCGAGTCACGACTCACGAGTCACGAGCAGGCGATTTGGAATCGACAGAAATCGCAAAGTTGGGGCTGCAATTGTGGACGATAGGTTTTATTAGAAAGGCAGCTGATTTTGTAGACGAAAATGGCCTTTGCTTCTTTCCTTATTTACGATTGTGCCTTTGGTGTCTCCTTTTTGTCATACGTTTTTATATGAGGTGGTGCTCTCCATGGCATTTATTTTTACTTTTTATATATCTCTTAATTTCTAATTTTCAGATTTTCAGATTTGAAAAAAAAATTAAGACAAAAATTGATAAGTGTGTACAAATAAAAAAAATTGTGTGAATAGCACTATCTTTTGATACGATGCTAGATTTTGGAATAAAATATGGTATAGAAGTAGGCATTGAAAGGCATGTTCACTTTTATTTTCCTCAAGCGATTAAATCATACAACATAATACTAACTTTTACATTTTCTTTATATGTTAGTATGTTGTTTTTATTCAAGTGGTAGTGGCAGAGAAAAATCAAACTCGAGATATGGATTGAAAGGATAATTGTTAGTATTATCTTTGAATTGTTTTTTTTTTTTTTTACACTAATTGAGACAGGAGGAGAATTTGAATTAGAACTCAACGGGTTAAAGAGGAAGACCCTAACAACTATTACGCTTCACCACGTGCACTGGTTTTATATGTTACTATTATGTGTTTTTATACAAGCAATTATAAATGAAAGAAAAATCAAACTTATAACCTCGAATACATAAATAAATATTGGACAACTTGAATTACAAACTTCTTGTATTTTTTTTTATCGAATTTATACCGTAAACATTAAATTCATTAACAATGTAAATATGTTTAAAATAGATGAAATATAGTTTAATTTAACTTTCAGTCTTTTCACCAAAAAATAAAACATTTAGTTACAAAGTATATAGCTAGGTTGTAACTGAAATTAAAATCCACATAACTCCAAGGATAATTTGGTCTTTCGACAATTGTGGTGGAGAGCAACCGTGGCTTCCAAAGTCGCTTTCCGGTATTTGGTTGACTTTGACTGAGTATAGCCTTACCTTCCTCCGTTCCACGCACTTACCTCAAAAACAATATCGAAAAGACGATTATAACCTTACAATTTTCTGTTGCAAAGTAACCGGTCTAAGGTGTTTTGGGAATTTAAAACTATATAATTTAGGACTACATATATTTTACACCTCAAAATTTGAGATGATTTTTAAGATGGGCAGTTTCAATTTCTCACGTTATCGCTTAAGATATTAGAACGTATAAATATCCCTTAAGTTGATGAGTTTTGTAGTTAATATGGTATAAATGTGACTTACATGTCGAAGTAATGGATTTTGTACTCACCGGGTCATCAATTTTGATGAAGATTTATTTAATGCATTAGACAAAGAGTATAAATTGATGCAATTTTAAAATCTTAAAGGACAACTTGAAAAAACTAAAATCTCGTGGCTCATTTTGAAAATCAACACTAACATGAAAGATGCAAAATGCATTTAGTCCTATAGTTTTTTTGTTTTTTCTGTCAAACAATAAATTTTGTAAGATTAAATATATATTAATCACCGACGAAGTTTGAAACCACGCCATCATGAAGCTCATAGCCTTTCCACCACTGTAATAAAAGCAACTTGCAATTAGTCCTATAGTTTAAGTTGGATTAATATATTTCCAAATATAATGCATAAACAAAAAGAAAAATGGTGGTAAAGTGGGAAATTGTCAAAATCAAAAGGGGCGTTTTAATAATGGGAATTATTATTATCACTCTAAAAATTTCATTCGGCACTCCTCACAAGCGTATTTTTCTTTTTAATTATAGAAAATTTAAAGTGTCAAATAAAATTTTTGGAATGCTAATAACAATTCGTTTAACAATTTAAAATTGAATTTTTTCCGCTGACTGAGTGTGTATGTAATTGAAGGAGTTGATGACGGAAGCGCATATGTCAGCAACATTAGCTTGATTAACCTGATTAAGTTATCCGAATGTCAAACAATGTGATTGGATAGATTCTTGATCCATTCTGATTTAACAATTATGACATGGCGCACGTGATCATTTAATCAACAACAATATGTATGTCTTCGTAGTAAGTTTGATATTAAATTGTAATTTCACCTATGTAAATAAACAGTAAAATATATAATAAAAAAATTTGTATATCGTCAGAAATGTATTTTTGTATAATCGAGCCACGTAATGAACGTTATGTTCATATGGTTGACAATCAAGTCTTTACTTCATCCTTGTTCAATAAATAGTACTGTAATCTTTGCTAAAAAAAAAAAGTACCTTGATCGAAAAATTATTGCATATAACTAAAATACATATTCATATGTCGTAATCAGTAACGGAATGTTATATTCACATGAGCTAATACCCAAATATTTCCCCACCATAATCAATTGAAAGCAAATTAATGTTTCATTTATGTAACTAAACGCCATATTGAAAACGAATTTGCTTCTAACGGGACAATGATTGAAAAGATGAGTGACAGCTCGATTTTTGAGGCTGTGCAACTTCATTAGCATCAACCACGAATTTTAATACAAATGATGCTTTTAGTGAAATTGCAAAAAGTAAACATGCGTATAACGATATTTGAATTTACTTAATTGAATAAAGTATTAAGTTTGACTCGAACGATGAATATTTATAGTGAGGTTTGATGTCTAATTGTTAATTGTTGAATGTGGTTCTGTTCATATTTTTTTTTTTTTTTTTTGTCTTTCACACTCTATATTCGATTTATATCATTTAATTCGATAATTGAAAATTTAAGAGATTTGTTTGGAAAGTAGGAAAAAAAGTTTGTGGATAACACCATCTATCGTGAAAACTTAGTGTGATTACTGATTAGATTAAGAGAGTTTTAATGAAAAGGGCTTCTCTCAACTTTTTATTAACAAAAAGTCATCCACTAACTTCATTTAATAAAGAAGACTTAAACTTTAATAAAAATAACTTAAGTTTTAATAAAAAATGACAAAAATTTAACATAATAATTATAAAAAAAAAAATCAAAAACAAAATCTGATGCGCGCGTTGTAACACTCAATCACACATCATTTCCCTCCCTCTCTGTTTCTTCCTACACCATTATTAGCTCCTATCTCTCTCCTCTTTCACATATTCCTATCAAATTTCTCTCTTCTCTCACCTCGCCCATTCACATCAATTTTTTTTTTCTCTCATCTTTTTTTTTTTTTTGTTAAATAAAGATTTATATTAACAGGGTAAAGCCTAAAGATAACAATAAACAATAAGAGAGAAACTCTCACTGTCACATCCCCGCCCGGGGCGGATCACTTGCCAGGCCCGCTCCACCACCGTAGCACGATATTGTCCGCTTTGGGCTTACCATTCCCTCACAGTTTTGTTTTTGGGAACTCACGAGTAACTTCCCAGTGGGTCACCCATCATGAGATTGCTCCAGCCCCCTTCTCGCTTAACTTCGGAGTTCCTACGGAACCCGAAGCCAGTGAGCTCTCAAAAGGCCTCGTGCTAGGTAGGAATGAGAATATACATTTAAGGATCACTCCCCTGGGCGATGTAGGATGTTACACTCACAGTACCAAAGAACAAAGGGGAAACATTCCCAAAACAAAGCCTAACCCACGTAGAGGAAGACGACAGGAAAACATAGAGCCTAATAGGCAGCAACATTCCAATTATGGAGGATCATCATGTTAATGGTAGAAGGCTTAACATGCAAAGTACACAGCCGACACCGGATCATATTAGTGATTGACTGAAGAAAAGCAGCAGGGGGTTTCCTACAATTGTTGAACATGTAGTTATTCCATTCACACCAAATGCAATAGACAGTGACTGCAAGAGAGAGCTTTTTGACCGCCACGAGAAGCGATTTCCCCCACCAATGGGATGCCACATAATCCACAAAAGAAGGTCATGGAGGATGAAGTCAAGGAACCCCACACCTTATCAACACATGCTGCCATAGACCTTCAGTAAAGGGACAATCAAGTAAGAGGTGGGAATGAGAGTCGCAAAGCACACAGTTGTTGGCTCAATTCCTCATAGCACTCTACTCTCACTCCATAAATATTACAATTTTTACTTTTTATTTTATTGTATTTTATTTAACCATTGTTTCATAATTTTTTTTTTTTTGGAACAAACTAAGTAATAATATTACAAGACAAAAAATAAAGAAAATTTTTCATTTTTCAGTTTGATAAACAATGCTTATTTTATTTTTGAAATAGTGATTTTATCTTTAGTTTGGACAATTTTTTAAGTTTGTGTCATGTCATGTTAACACTAGTTATTTTTACAACTGAACATTGATTATTTCTAGAATCGAACACTAATTATATTTAGAATTTAACACTAACTATTTCTCAAACCAAATAACGACTAAATCTTAAACCAAACACTAGTACTATCATTATTTCTTAAACTGAATACTGACTATTTCTTAAACTAAACACTAATACTATGACTATTTTGTAAATTAAACATTGACTATTTCTTAAACCGAACACTATTACCATCACTAATTCGTACACTAGTATTATCACTATTTCGCAAATTAAACATTAACTATTTCTTAAACCGAACATTTATACTATCACTATTTCGTAAACAAAACACTAACTATTTCTTAAACCAAACACTAGTATTATCACTATTTCTTAAACTGAACACTAATACTATCACTATTTCGTAAACTGAACATTGACTATTTTTTAAAATAAACACTAATATTATCACTATTTCGTAAATTAAACACTGACTATTTCTTAAACTGAATACTAGTACTATCACTATTTCATTAACCATGGCATAGAAAACAATGGACAGTAGACGAAGCTCAACTGGAAAATGCACACTAGCATCTATGGTTTTGGGGGCCAAGAAATTAGTGGCCAATGGTTTGAAAAATAAACTTGGAAAAGGCATGTCATTAACATTAACTAGATACGAATGATTAGTTGTGTTTTCTGATTAATGGATGAGTCGTGAACATTCTAACAATGAATAGAAAACCCAAATAATTATTCTATACATGAGAATGTCGTCAAAAG